ATTGACTGCAGATTTCCTGAGAAGACCGAGGGAGCTCAGTCAGGGCAAAGAATCTAGCCAGGAAATTGGTAGCTCCACTCTAAAGAATGTCTTCCATGAACTTGGAGGTCTAAACCTAGTATAGGTTTTGTTTTGTTTTGTTTTGTTTTGTTTTTTTAGACTTCATCAAAAGTTTCTAGTATAGGTTTTGAAGTTAGAAGGACTGGATCTATGTCCCACCTCCACCGTTTATAAGGCATATGGTTTTGAACAAGTTAGTCTCCCTGAGCTTGTTTCCTTGCCAGTCAAATGGAGACACTATGAGTATCTGTGCTAGTGCAGGGCTCTTGGGAGAACTAAATGAGATGATAGTGTTTACTAGGTGCTTAGCCCTGCATGAACCCTTTGTGACTATTATCACTATCATTAGGAAAGAGAGAGGAAAGGGGAACGGTGGGAGTTCTATCCAGATAGTCTTAAGTGAGAGGTGGTTGTAGGTCACCCGATGGTGGACAGCTGTCAGGCACCTGGCAATCGAGGATTTGGAGCTTGGGAAAGAGATCAGAACTGGTGATAAAGATCTGGGTGCCACTTGCAGAGAGATGAAGATCACCTGGGAGTAGAGAAATCATCCAGGAGGAGGGTGAAGAAGTAGAGCTCTGAGGAGAGGAACCCTCGGGGAGAGGGGCAGGGAGAAAAGCTTTCGGAAGAGCCTGGATGCAAAGGCATTGTGGGAACTGCTCTGGAGGGCGGAGGTGTGGGGCCGTCTCAGCCTTCGCCTCTTCACCACATTCCCGCCTCAGGTCTGTGACAGCCTTGGGCGGCACCACCTCGCTGTCTGTCCCCTCTGCGCCTTCTGCTCCCTGAAGCTGGAGCAGTGCCACTCGGAGACCAACCTGCAGCGACAGCACTGTGACGCCTCCCACAAAACGTCCTTCATGAGCCCCTTCCTCTCATCCCAGAGCATGGCCGTCGGCATCCAGGTACCCAGCCAGCTGGGCAGCCTCCGTGGGGGAGGCCTCAGGCTCTGGACATCTACCCGGAAGGGAGACCTGCAGGGGGAGCCGGGGTTCACACCTCTCCCCCGTCCCCTCTGCCGCAGGTGGGGACTGCAAAATCGGGCCGCTATTACGGGCTGGATTTTTACGGCGGGCTCCGCCTGGACTTCTGGTGTGCCCTGCTGGCCACGAAGGGCTGTGAAGACACCCGAGTCGCTGGCTGGCTCCAGGCTGAGTTCCTCAGCTTCCAGGATGGGGATTTCCCCACCAAGGTCAGAACCTTTCCCCAAAGCTCAACCCCACCTCCCTCACCCCCATTCCTGCTGGTCATTTGCTCCAGGCAGCCCAGGATGTAAAAGGGGACTTGGGCCCCTGGCTTCTGAGAACCAGTCCTCACTAAACTGGCTGCCTCTCTTCCAGAGACCGAACACACACACACACACACACACACACACACACACACACGAGCAGGATTGTGTTTGGCAAAGAAGGTAGGATTTGGGAGTGGTGGGAGAGCAAGCGCAGGACTGGGAGGCAGGAGACAGGGCTTCTGGCCCCAGCTTTGCCAGTTACCTGCCAAGGGGCTTTGGCCAGCTTACTTCCCACTCTGGCCAGTTATACTCATCCCTACAACAGATGGCTAGGTGATGGGTGAAGGGCCACCCCTCCCCTGATCCAGTGCTTCCCTGCCTCCGTCTCACAGTCTCCTCCTCTAACTCTTCCAGTGCTTTTCCTGCCCAGTGGCATTACTGTCTCCCCTTCTCCCCAAATTACCTTCTCTGTGGAACTCCCTGTTGTACCTGAGAGCCAGGCCCCTCCTTTCTGTGGTTTAATGGGAAATCAAGACCCTGAAAAGTAGGGGCAGCTTGAGAAAGGGCTGGTCATGCCGAGACCGGTTTGGCTCAGTGGATAGAGCATCGGCCTGTGGACTGAAGGGTCCCGGGTTCGATTCCTGTCAAGGGCATGTACCTTAGCTGCGGACACATCCCCAGTAGGGGTGTGCAAGAGGCAGCTGATCGATGATTCTCTCTCATAGATGTTTCTAACTCTCTATCCCTCTCTCTTCCTCTTTGTAAAAAAGTCAATAAAATATATATATATATATTTTTTAAATTACCTTTAAAAAAAAAGAGAGAGAGAAAGGGCTGGTCACTGAGCTGAGGGGCCCCTGTCCAGACCTTCTCCCTGGGCCACTAGACCTGGAAGAGGTCTCTGAGATCATCTCTGCTGCATCCCTGGGCTTATAGATGGGGAGGCAAGGTCAACAGAGGGAAGGGATCCAGCCGAGGTCACACATTAGATGGTTCTACCCTCCCCCTCACTTGCCCATCACTAGGAGGCTCCCTGAGGCTGGCTTATGAATTGGCTCCCTTCCAATGTTCCGCAGCCTTAGTGCCCCCTTCCTCATTCCCCATTCCTCGGCCATTTTACCAGCAACGGAACAACGGGGAAGCCATCTCCCACTCTCCGGCTCCTGGCTTCTTCCCACTGACTGAACGGTGACTGCGGGTGGGATGGGAAAGGCAGGGGGGACAAAGGCCTGTTCCTCAGAGAGGGGCACCCCCAGTGTGGAAGGTCTGGTTCCGAAAGGCCACACCCCTGCCCGTGGTTCTCTCGCCGCGGCCACACTCTGGAGGGTTGGTGTCTCTTAAGGCTTCTGACATCTCCCCACCTCCCCATCCCTGGCTCCTGGCTTAGATTTGTGACACAGACTATGTGCAGTACCCAAACTACTGTGCCTTCAAAAGCCAACAGTGTCTGAAGAGAAACCAGGATCAGAAGGTGAGCTCGTCACCGTGTCCCCATCCCCCCTCCCACCAGCCCCTCTAAATCAGTCACCTTGGCTGGGTGTCCTTTCTGGGCCACACCCTAACTCCTGCTCCACCCAGCTGGGATGCGGAGAGCAGTTTCCTACTTGCCTCTCAGGGCAGAGGCCTCCACCAGAGAGAGCACTTGCTCTCCTCCACTCCCCCAGCCTTGGAGTAAGAGGAGAGGTGAGGGCCCTGAGGGCACCACAGGAAGAAGCTCGGCTGGGCTGGGAATTAGATGTTGAGGTTGCAGTTTTGCCTTCTGCTCTTACTCACCGAGAAGTCTGGGATAAGTCACTTCCTCCCCCTAGCCTCAGCCTCCTGATTTCTGAAAGGGGGAGGGGCCCCTTGGTGTGTCTGGCTGCTGGAAAAACCCACATCTGAGTTTCCTCCTTCCCTCTACTGCCCTGTGCCCATGCCTGCCTGCTTTAATCCATCGTTGGATTAAAGAAGACCACAGCTGGGGCTCCTGGGACTTCTGACACCTGCCCACCTCCACGCTGCTGGCTCCTTGCTCTGTAACTCAGACTGTGTGTGTACCCGATCCCCCTGTAGGTATCCCGTATGAGATGTCTGAAGAACGAGAGTTACAATATCTTGACCCCAGCCAAAAGCGAGGACCTTGTGCTTCGATGGAGCCAGGAGTTCAGCACCTTGACTCTAAGCCAAGCTGGATGAGCTGGGCTTCTTCCTGTCTCCCCCCAACCCATTCTGTCCACACTCTCCATTGCTTTCTTACTCCATTTGCCATCAGTTTGCATCCAGGCTGCCCCTTTTGTGTCTCCTACCTGGTCCCTACTCACGTTTTTCCCTTGGGTCAGGGCAGGAGTCCCTGAAAGCGATGGGGACTCCACCCGCCTTAAAGGATGTCTTTGCATAAAGTGTTTTATTTTCAACGTATGTGGCCTATGTTGGTTAGGATCCTATCCCCAGCACTGCCACAGTGCCCCATGGGGATCAACTCACCTCCCCCACTCCCTTGCCCAGGGGCTTATGGACCCATCTGTAGGAGAGAGAATCTCATGGGAATGATGCTTAGGGAAGCAACCATCTGCTGGGAGAAGAGGCCCTAAAAATCAGGGAGTTGGATTAAAGAAGACCACAGCTGGGGCTCAGGGATTCTGTGGACCAGGAGGGCATGTGTGTCTTCATCTTGAATGATGTTCCTATCACTTTCTCTTCCTTCCTCTCTGAAATATATATATATATATATATATATATATATATATATATATATATATATATACACACACACACAAATAGAATAGTACTAGAAGCTTGGTGCATGAAATTCGTGCACTCAGTAGTGAGGGTCCCTCAGTTTGGCCTGTGCCCTCTCACGGTGAGGGAGCCCTCAGGGATGGCCTAAGCTGTCAGTCAGACATCCTTAGCACTGCCAGAGGCAGCCATGGCCACTGCACTCGCCAGCTGTGAGCCTGGCTTCTGGTTGAGCGGTGCTGCCCCTGTGGGAGTGCACTGACCACCTGGGGCAGCTCCTGCAGTGAGCATCTGTCCCCTGGTGGTCAGTGCACATCGTAGCGACTGGCCCTTCTGCTGTTTGGTCAATTTGCATATTAGCCTTTTCTAATATAGGATAATTCACCCCTATGCTTCACCCAGCTTCCCTTATCAACACATGGTCGATCTTTCAATGACATGTTCAAGGATCTGAGAAGACCTGTAATAGAGAAACCTGTTTAAGCCAGCATTTTCCAACCTCACTTGACCACAATATCCTTTTTCATTCGGCCATTCAAAAATGTGAACTTATTTTTGTGTATTGAGCGTGGGCAACCTGTCCAGCCCTGTTGATACAGAAGACAAGGCACAGAAAAAAGGGGCTGTCATCTGAGCTCTCTGCCCAGCCCTCCAGGCCCCCCAACCCCCAGCCTAGGCAAGAGACAGAGGCCAGGAGGAACAGCCCAGCCCAGTACCCGCTGTGGTGGAGAGGCTATGCACACTCTGCAGTGACAGTGGGCCCAGCAGCAGCCCTGGCATGTAGGGGGGGCCTAGGCAAGGGGAGGTACAAAGCCACAGGTGGCAAAAGCAAAGCCACCTGCAGGGATCTGAAAGAGAGACGCCCAGAGGGAACTGGAGAGAAAAAAAAGGAGAGGCTGGTGATTAGTCATCGAATCAGTGGGTGGGTGAGCCAGTTAGGCTTCCCGGAAACTGTGGGGAGTATGTGGGTGATGGGCGGGGGATGAGGGGGGGGGGGTGAGGGGAGAGACATTAGTTGGCCCAGAGTTGGGGTTACATTAAGTGCCATTATCTGCTGGGGTTTCTTCTCTGGCCGGGCTGTGAAGACTGCTGAAGGCACCGCTTCCTCCTTTCTCTTCCTGCGAGTGGAGTGCCAGTGCAGGGTTGGGTGAGTGCACGGAGCTGGAATCTGTTGAGATTTGCCCAGGTGGGTGTGTCCCCACCCGCCCCAGGAGCAGGTCCTTCCAGCCCAGCCCAGTGCAGAGCAGACAGCGGAAGCCAGCTTGGGGCAGCGGCAGAGCTCAACGGGGAACACAGGTATGGGGGTGTCACGGGTGGGCTTGAACCTCATGGGGGCATAAGGGGCCCCACCCCACTTTTAGAAATGGAGTATGTGGGTGGGGATGGAGGTGAGGGTGGGCCAGAAAACCTTTGAACAGAGTAAAAAGCTAATGGGCTGCCGCAGGCAGAGAGACCGTCTCAGACAGAACACAGCCTAGAGGGCCCCTCTGAAGTGCGAAGCCCCACACGGGGGCATCTTGGGAGGCTGTGTTCTCCCCTTCACCCGTGAGGTCCACTGTCAGGCTGAGCCCTGGGCGTCCCAAGACCAATGAGGAGAGTCCTCTGGGATTGATTTCCAACCTTGTCCCATTCTCAGTTAGTACTTAACCCCTGATGCCCACTCACCTCCCAGGGCCAGCCCCTCTCCTAGATGAAAACAAACTTATCTGATTAAACTCCCTGAGTGGGTTCACTGGCACAAATGTGTTCTTACGGTGATTCTTCCTAGCTAACCAAGGGGTATATCTATCTTTCTATCTATCTATTTATCTATCATCTGTCTGCATTGATTTTAGAGAGGAAGGGGGAGAGAGAGAAAACACATTGATTTCTTGTTCCACTTATGCATTTATTAATGCATTCTTGTATTGCATCAATACAAGAGATTGAACTGGAGATTGAACCCATAACCTCGGTGTATGCTCTAACCAACTGACCTACCGGGCCAAGGCCTCCAAGAGGTTTTTTTCATGGGGTCTTTGAAAAACACTGCCTTAACCCAATGCGTTCATCTCTATAAAAAGATTAGACAAAATTATTTCTAATGCCCCTATAGCTATGGTTGAATGTGGCTCATGGGTGGCATGAAGGAGATGCAATTTCAGATACCGAGCACAGAGTGGGGGAAATATTTGAGGGTGGGCAAGGCTTTATGATACCTTTGTCTCACATCAGTGAGGGCAGCCGCCTACCTATTATCTATGCTTATGGGGGGCCTCCCTGAGAGAAGGGGACCTACCCCCCCCCACATTGTATCTCGAACTCCTTTTAGGGTGAGCTGAAATTGTAGCCCTAAGGGGAGATGGAGGCAAGGCTTGAGGGGGAAACAATCTTATCCCCATAAGCCTCGCCTCCTGGTCACTCAGAGACACTAGAGCCCAGCTCTGCCTGCCTGTGTCTGATGCTGTCAGCTCTCCCCACGCTGCTGCCCGCCGTGTACACCCCAACACAGGCCCCCGGGGGAAGGAGACGGTACAAAGGGTGAGGGCCCAAGCCAGTGGCGCATACTCAGTGCTGGCGGGAGTTCAGGGTGAGGTCAACAAGGCTGGAAGGCTGCAGGAGACTCTCTGAGGCAGGCAGGACCCTGCCAGGGTGACAAGCAAGGTGAGAGGCATGCCTACACTCTGAGCCCAGGGCCAGGACAGCTCCTCAGTGATTTCTCTTGATTGGGACTTGACTTCCTGTTTTTCCAGCTCTTGAAAGCAGGGTGGAGAGAAAGGTGCAGGTGGGGAGGTGACACCACACGTGGAGGAAACTCATTACTGAGCTGTCGGCCTCCTTTCCTTTCTGCCTTTCCCCAGAAAGCAATGGGAGGGATGAGGTCAGAATACCTGGGACAGGAGGAGACATGACTGGGGATGATGCAGGGAAGGCAGCGGGAGACAGGCTCAGGGTGGGGGCAGGCATTTTGGCTGCAGCAAGCAGAGCAGGCCTGACCCCGGGAGGAGGATGGATGGAGATGAGACAGGGCAATCCCGCGGGGTCTGTGCCAGGGAGGTGCCTGTCCTTGGGAAGAGCGTGGTCCCTGGGTTAGGATGAGGCCATCTGCTCACTCAGGTGACCTCGAACTGTCTCTGCACACAGAGCCCTCAGACCCAGGAAAAGCTGACGAGCAGGATTCACTCGTGTCCCCAAGGCAGCTCTGGGGCAGGTCTTTTCACAGAGCCTTTGGGTTGGGTTGGGCTTCTAGTCAGAGGCTTGGCAGTTTGGATCCGTGTGGGGAGTCTGAATAGACAGACACCGAGAGGCCTTTACAATGAAGCCGGCTGCTGGGGCGCATCCTCCCCGTGCTGCCTGAGCCCAGCTGACGAGGCAGGTTAGAGCACACACTGCGTAGCCCAAGCATGTCAAACTCGCGGCCTGCACACGGCCCACAATGAATGTTCTTGCGGCCCAGCCAAGATAACGGTATGCAAGAAACGTTTTAATAAACATTTCGTAACTTGTGTTTTACCATATCCTGTTATACATAATCATTAATAACAAACAACAACGTTCGCTAACGACTGATTACTATAATCGTGTTGCATTCATTTCCCTTACGCACAAGTGCATCTTTTCTCTCTTAACAGTAGCAGCGAATATTTTAGCCGATTGCCACGTCATTAGTCTTGGGCTGACTTGTTTGGCGTGCGGCGCAATAGGAAATACTTTGCTTTCGGAGAACAAAAATAGGTTTATTTGCGTTACGCTTAGTAACTTGTGGAGTTACGCAGGGTCTGGTAAGTTAATGTTCAAGAAAAAATATTACGTTTTATCAAAATGTTCTATTGTTTTATGTTAACGATGACTCGTTTATCTCAGCCCTTTGTATTCAGCATGTCTCTATCAGAATAAACCTACATTTCTATGAAAATGGAAGGGTTTTTGTTTTTGTTTTTTTATTTGCGGCCCACCTAAACTTAAACCTTGTTCATTGGGCCCATCTTAGCCTTTGAGTTTGACATGCTTGGTGCAGCGGGTGGGACACACTGACAGGCTGGGACTTCAGAGTCTAAAATGAGGCTGGGGTTATTCCAGAGCAGGTCTCCTGGGGCAAGGAGGATGGGGATATCTGAGATTCCTACCTTTCAAACTTCTGAAAGATGTGAATTAATTACTAAGAAGAAGAGGTGGAGAGAGAGCAAGGCATTTAACGAATGTGTGGGAGGGGAAGGGGAGAGGAGCTTGGAGAGGGTAAGCAGAAAAGAAAGCTGGACAAAGAGGAGATATTTCTTTCCTGTCCCTGCCTCCTCCATGTCCCACATCACATATTTGTCTTCGGCTCTTGTCTGTGCTGTTGGTCAGATGCCAGAAGGCTGGGTATGCTGGCGGGTTCTGTGTAGCGGGGAGAGCGAATGATCATGATCTAGGCTCCTGCCCACTTTTACTCTCTCCTTCTTACTTCCTGCCCGTGGCAGAAAATAGCCCTGTCCCTCGCACTTATCTCAGCACAGAGCAGCGCCCAGCCCAGCTCAGAGGACAATGGGACAGGTCTGAGAGGCCCTAAGGACAAGAGGAAGGAACCTGGGTCTGGAGGTGCACAGGGGAGGCTGAAGGACAGGGACGAAGGGAGGAGGGACGTGGCTGCACGTGCGGGTGTGAGTGTGCGGTGGGCGGGTGATGTGGGGAGGCACAGCCTCTGGTGCCTCGATGTGTTTGGTGCTGCTTTGCCCTTCAGGGCTGTGGCGCTGGGATCTGTTCGTGCACTTCCGTGTAGCGTGTGCTCCTGACTCTGTCGGTGCAAGGACACGGTCCCTAAGGCAGGGGCTGTGTCTGCCCTTCTTCCTGGAGCTGTCTGTCTGTCTGTCTGTCCGTGCCTCCATGCATGTGTGAGTTACAGGGTGCGCAGCGGCATGTAACTCACAAAGGAGGGACACATTACCAGGAATCTGATGTTCCCCATCCACGCCTGTCGAGGTGGCTGAGCCTACCCAGGCCTCCGTGTCCTGTCCCTCCTCCCCTGTGAAATGAAACCCCGATGTCTGATCTTTTCTGGGTTGGCTGCTATTTCTTTACTTCCTGCGTCTCCCCTGCAACCCAACCTCTTCCTCATGGCAGGGCTGGGGAGAGGCCCAGGCTGCCCCTTTCCCACATCTAGAACCCTCCTTCCGTTTCCTGCGCGCCTCCTCTTGGCCGTATTTTCCATCTTGTCATCCGGCCTGGCAGGGTGCCCATTCAGCACCCAGGGGAGCCTCGGGAAGCAGGCGGATGGGGTGGGGACCAGGGCAGGGGCCTGGCAGCTTTTAATGCTCAGCGTGGGCCATTCCGGGTAAGTCTGTCAGGCAGGGGTGACTTTTTGGCAAATAGGTTCCACTACAGAGAAACCCAAGGACGCCCTTCTTTTAGAGCAAGAGCATTATCATCAGCTAGAGGGTTCCTAACTTTACCTTTAAATAACAGCTCATGTCACACATTTTGGTCTGTTCATCGGTGTAACTTTGTCAATGGAAAGACTTGCAATTTTGGGGGAATAACTATTCATTCACTCTTTCAGCGTCTAGTAGGGGCCTCCTAATTGTAAGGAGTATTGATTGTCCACGTAATGGTTACGAATGATAAAGTGGCCATAACCGGTTTGGCTCAGTGAATAGAGCATCAGCCTGCGGACTGAAGGGTCCTGGGTTCGATTCCAGTCAAGGGCATGTACCTTGGTTTCGGGCACATCCCCAGTAGCGGGTGTGGCAAGAGGCAGCTGATCGATGATTCTCATCAATGTTTCTAACTCTCTATCCCTCTCCTTTCTGCTCTGTAAAAAAAAAAAAAAAATCAATAATATATATATATATATATATATATATATATATATATATGATAAAGTGTGAACTGTTACTAAAATTTTGCTGCAACCTGTTTCCAAACAGGCCTTTTAAGGGGCATGATCTACTAAGTGAGTTATACATGTGGACAAGATAGTCAAAAACATGATAATAAGAAGTGGTTAGTTGTAAAAATATATATCTATGAAAAAGAAGAAGAAGAAGTGGTTGGTTGTGGTTAGCTGACTGATTTGATATATAACAGACGATGGGGGAGGGGGCAGATAGCCTGCCAGCAGGAATGAATTCCACAAGGGCCTGCTAAGTAGAGAGATGAGATGTGAGCACACTTGGGAAGAAAAGCCTATGAAAGTTGTGGTCCCATCCCGGGATCTTACCATCTAGTTGGGGAAATGGAACAAATAGACACAACACAACTCGTGGAGTTCAAAGCAGCAAGCTAAGTGCTTAAGTAGATGAGCGGAAATTGTAAGGAGGGGCTTATTTGTGTGTGTGTGTGTGTGTGTGTAAGACAGGTGAGCACATGTTACCAGTGTTTGAAGTGGGAGAAAAAGAAAGATTACTTACAAGTACACATTTCCATTAGGCACATGAGGAAGTAAAACCATTTCTCTATGGGCACAGATTTCACATCGGCATCTGTAAGGGACCAGGAGCTCTGTGCAGCCTCCACCCTCATCTCTCACCATCCACTCTTATTGGAAGTAGCACCAGCTTGGACTTTGGAGCCAGGAAGTCCTGGGTTTGAGTCCTGACTTCGCTCCTCACTGACTGAGCTCTTGAGCTGTTTCCTTGCCTGTAAAAATGAGGATAGCCGAAACCAGTTTGGCTCAGTGGGTAGAGTGTCGGTCTGTGGACTGAAAGGTCCAGGTTCGATTCCGGTCAAGGGCATGTATCTTGGTTGTGGGCACATGCCCACCCAGTAGGAGGTATGCAGGAGGCAGCTGATCGATGTTTCTCTCTCATCGATGTTTCTCGCTCTCTATCTCTCTCTCTTCTTCTCTGTAAAAAAAAAAAATCAATAAAATATATATTTTTTTAATGAGGATAAACACGGACCTCCAAGGGCTGTTGGAAGGATTAAATACTGTGTATATAAAATACCCCAGGATATGGTAAACAATCAGTAAATGACAGCTGTTTCACTCAACGTTTATTGACATTGACGTAGGTGCTGACAATACAAAGATGAGTAAGTCACAGTCAATAGCCCTTCCTGCAAGGAGCTCACAGTCTAGTGGGAGGTGCAGATAAAGAACAGCTCATTACAGTACGGGCACGGCGGACGGGAACAGCTATGATAAACCCAGGCACGCAGGGGAAGCACCAGTGAGGGACCACATCTGCCTTGAAGGGAGGGACTCAGGAATGGCCTCACAGTCCTAAGAGGTGACTGAGTTTGTCCGTTGGAGAATGGGAGGGGGCTCATTAAATCAAGAGGAAACAGCATGAAAACACAAGGTATGTGCAAAATGATTAGTTTGGTGTAACTGGAGCAAAGGAGCATGGGAGATGGGGCATGTGTCAGGAACAGAGCCTGGTTTTACTTGCTTTTCTGCCCCAGTTAGTGTTATTTTCCTTGTTGAAATGGGTATTTTGGAGAGGAAGTGTTTCTTTTAAAACAACAACAACAACAACAACAAAAACCTTATTTATTTATTTATTTATTTATTTATTTATAATATACAAAACAATTAGTCTCTATGCAGTCTCCAATTTTGGTCCTCAGGTATCAGGGTTCTCTCCTGCGAGTTTTTCATTGATTATTCAGGAAGATTTTCTGCATTTTAGTTGTAATACCAGTTTGTTCCTGGGAGCATGTCCATGCAGCATCCACTTACTCTGCCGCCATTTTTATTCCTAGGAAGTGTTTCTTTATTCTCTTTAACTGTCCTACACCTCGCACAAGTCCTAAACTGCGGTTCATAGTGGTTGGAGGGAGAACAAATGAACAAAAAACCCACAAGAAAACTTGTGGCAGTCAGGTTTACAAAGTAGTTTCATGTATGCATTCAAGCATGAAAGGAGTAAGCCCAGCACCTTAGGATAGCTGCTCAGGGTCTCTGCACAACTTTGCTCCCTAAGATGCTCCCTAAGTGGACGCTCATATTCATAGCATTTATTCACAATAGCCAACAGGCAGAAAAACCCAAGAAACTATCGACAGGTGGGTAAATAAACAAGAGGTGATATACAGACATATGAACATATTACTCAGCCATGACAAACAATGCAATTTGACACATACTACATGGATGGACCTTGAAAACTTTTGCTACGTGAAATAAGCCAGACCCAAAGAAACACGACTCCACCCATGCGAGGTATCTGGAATGAGCAAATGCACAGAGACAGAAAGTAGAATAGAGGCCACCAGTGGCTGGAGGGCAGAGGTGGTGGTGGAATGGGCAGTCACTATGTCATGGGTATAAAGCTGCTGTTTGGGATGATGAAAAGGTTCCGGTGATGGTTACACAGCATTGTGAAGGTACTTAATGCCACGAATGTACACTTCAAGATGGTTACAAGGGTAAATAACTAAGTTAGGCATATTTCACCACAAACACACAACATAGATGGCATCTGGGTAGCTTCTGTGGCCTCGTCGCGTCAAGGAAGATGGGATCCTGAGACCATGCCCTGTCGTCTGGCTCCTCTACCTCTTAACTATGTCCTTTGTCTGCCGGCTGTTGCCTCAGACAGTCTCATCAGTGCCCATGGGACTTTCTCACCTTGCTGCCTGGGCTTAGGGTCCCCTTGGGTCTCTCACTAACAAACAGCCACCTCTCCCTATCACAGAACCCCAGCTGGGGCGTTCCCTAGTCCAGCAGCCACCAGCCTTTCGGACCTCACGGACTACTGGGTGGGGACCCCTGCCTCGTCAGATCCTCCAGGGGAAAAGCTCTACCCCCAGAGTCTTGCCCTGCCTGCAGGGCTGTGCTGGTGTGTGGTCAGCCCAGGAGAGCCCTGTTATATTATTTTCCACACTTTTCAGATGAAGAAACTTAGAGGTCAGCTCAGAGGCAGACCCAGGGCGCTCTGAGTGCAAGCCCAGCCCACACAGGAGCCAAGTGGGTGTGAGGAGTGAGGATGGGATTTTGTACTGCACTTGGGAGCTTGAACTTTATTCTTTAGATAAAAGGGAACCAGCAGAACACCTGTTCCAGGGGAGGAGCTCCAAAGCACCTGACAATGATACCTGTTTACTTGCACTTTATGACCTGTTTCTCCCAGTGGATTGAAAGTTGAAAGTAAATGGGGGCAAAGCCTTTGTTTTGTTCACTGCTGTGAACATGCCTGAGAAAGCCTAAACACTTTATATATATACAGTAGTCTTATTTAATCTAAAAACCTATGATCTCCACTCCTCGACCCCTACTCCACCCCCAGATAAAGAAAATAAACTTCAGCCCTAACCAGTTTGGCTCAGTGGATAGAGCGTCGGCCTGCAGACTAAAGGGTCCCAGGTTTGATTCTGGTCAAGGGCATGTACCTTGGTTGTAGCTACATCCCCAGTAGGAGGTGTGCAGTAGGCAGCTGATGTATGTTTCTCTCTCATCAATGTTTCTGATTCTCTATCCCTCTCCTTTCCTCTCTGTAAAAGATCAATTATATATACAATATATATATATATATATATACACTTTTTTTTTTTAATGAACTTCAGAGAGATTAAGTCATTTTTCTGGCAACTAAAGTAGGTGAACTGGCAAAGCCAGGATTGAAACCCAGACAATCTTGCCTTAGCCAGTGGTCGGCAAACTGCGGCTCGCAAGCCACATGCGGCTTGCAAGCCACGGTTTGCTGCTCTGTTGACTAATGAGTTTGCTGACCACTGCTAGGGAAAAACACATAAAAAGCATTTTAATAATGTACTAATGTCTTTAACCTGAAGTCAAAACTTCTAGGTAAGAGTAATGCCTTAGCAAACTCATTAGTCAACAGAGTGGCATGTGGCTTGCGAGCCGCAGTTTGCCAACCACTGCCCTAGCCGGTCTGGCTCAGTGGATGGAGCGTCAGTCTGCACACTCAGGGGTACCAGGTTTGATTCTGGTCAAGGGCACATGTGGGGGTTGAGGCTGGGTCCCCAGTGGGAGATGTGCAGGAGGCAGCCCATCAATGATTCCCTCTCATCATTGATGTTTCTATCTCTCTCTTCTCCTTTCTTCCCTGAAATGAGAGAGAGAGAGAGAGAGAGAGAGAGAGAGAGAGAGAGAGAGAGAACTGCTATACAGCCCTGCTGCAAAAAAGCTACTCTGGTGGGGAAAAGGCTTGAGGCTGAGAAGATTCAAGAGGCCAGCCAGTTTAGCTAGATACACATCTGTCCCTCACCCTGGCCTTGCATAATGGTGACTTTTGGTTTGCCTTCCTATTCCAGGTCTCCAGACGACGAAGCCCTGACCCAAGGCACCCTCCCCCTGGCAGCCACCTGCCCTGCAGCCATCACCCACCTTCTCCAGCCCTACCTCTGCTGGCTTTGGGACTGACTGTCTCCATGCAGCCTCCAGGCCCTGCCCTGGAGAGGAGGACTGCCTTGTCAGAACCTTGGTGTGCCCCATGAGGCCCCCGAGGCTAGCTCCCCGGCACACCCTGGCACGATGTTGGCCAACTTCTCCGCGAACGCTTCCACCAACAGCTCCGATCCCCCGTGCCCTGACTACCGGGCCACGCACCGGCTGCACATGGTGGTGTACAGCCTGGTGCTCCTCCTGGGGCTCCCGCTCAACGCGCTGGCCCTCTGGGTCTTCCTGCGCGCGCTGCGCGTGCACTCCGTGGTGAGCGTGTACATGTGCAACCTGGCGGCCAGCGACCTGCTCTTCACCCTGTCGCTGCCCGTGCGCCTGTCCTACTACGCGCTGCACCACTGGCCCTTCCCGGACCTCCTGTGCCAGACGGCGGGCGCCATCTTCCAGATGAACCTGTACGGCAGCTGCATCTTCCTGACGCTCATCAATGTCGACCGCTACGCGGCCGTGGTGCACCCGCTGCGGCTGCGCCACCTGCGGCGGCCCCGCGTGGCGCGGCTGCTGTGCCTGGGCGTGTGGGCGCTCATCCTGGTGTTCGCCGTGCCCACGATGCTCGTGCACAAGCCGGCGCCCTGCAGCTACCGCGGCCTCCAGGTGCGCCTGTGCTTCGAGAGTTTCGGCGACAAGCTGTGGAAGAGCCGGCTGCTGCCGCTCGTGCTGCTGGCCGAGGCGCTGGGCTTCCTGCTGCCGCTCGTGGCCGTGCTCTACTCGTCGGGCCGCGTGTTCTGGACCCTGGCGCGGCCCTACGCCACGCAGAGCCGCCGCCGGCGGAAGACGGTGCGCCTCCTGCTGGTCAACCTGGTCATCTTCCTGCTGTGCTTCGTGCCCTACAACACCACGCTGGCCGTGTACGGGCTGCTGCGGGGCGACCTGGTGGCGGCCAGCCCCGCCGCCCGCGACCAGGTGCGCGGGGTGCTGATGGTGATGGTGCTGCTGGCGGGCGCCAACAGCGTGCTCGACCCGCTGGTGTACTACTTCAGCGCCGAGGGCTTCCGCAACACCCTGCGCGGCCTGGGCTCGCCCCTCGGGCCCCGGACCTCGGCCTCCAACGGGGACGGAGGGACGCTCGCCCAGCTGCCCCGGGAGGTCAACCCCACCGGCAGGCCCGCCGCCTCCAGCCAAGGACTGATCAGTTATTCCAGTCCCCGGACGCCCATCCCCGACGATTCTGTCCTCTAAACGAACACGGGGGGGCCCCAGTTACACCCACCTCCACCCCCTGGCGCACCTCTCGCACTGGAAAATGTGCAGGAGGGCCGTGGATCAGACACTTGGATTTTTCTGGGTGGCAACTCCAACTCACACATGCAGAAGGAGCCAAGTGTGGGAGCAAGGGGCACGGGGAAGGAAGGTGTGCTGGTGGAAACAATTAGTGGTGATGATGAGCATGGAAAAGACCCCCCTCCCCAGCCTGTAGGCAGCGGTGGTGCTGGGAGCCTGCCAAGGCAGGGACAGAGGAGTGGGTGAAATGCCCTTGCAGGGGACTGGAAACACTGCCCAGCACTAGTCGATGTAGCAGAAAAATGGATGTCCTGGTTTTAGACTGGCCTCTGCAGGCTTAGGGCCGTAGGTGCCACCCACATTTCATTCCCACCTGGGCTTCCCCCTTCCCGGGCATTGAGGCATAATACAAGCGTTTACTGGATAAGACAGAATTGGTTTCCTTCTTGTTTTGAGACTTGTAATAATTTAGACCTGGCTTTCAACATGGGGTGGTTGGGCCAGGGTAAAACTGTGAGTGAGAAGGTTTGTTTTCTCCAGAATCTTGATCCTTGTTCCCCTTCCTAGGTCTTTTCTTATTCTACACTCCAACCCCCTTTCAAGACCTCCTCCATTCTAGATCCTAAGTCTACTTCTGCCACCTCCCTCCTCCCCACTGTTTCATCTGGAGTAAGGAAACAATTTTTTGTACTAAAGTAACAGTTTGCTTTTTTTTTTGTCTCAGACCCTTTACACCCTTAAAAATGGAGAATTCCAAACAGCTTTTGAATATACTTAGTTCTTTTGATACTTACCATATTAGACATTAAAATGAAATTTTCAAAACATACAGATCTGGCCACTGTGGTTCAGCTGGTTGAGCATCATGCATGCACCAAAAAAGGTCCTTGGTTCGATTCCTGGTCAGGGTACATCCCCAGGATTTTGGTCTGGATTCCCAGTAGGGGGGGGCATGCAGGAAGCAGCCAATCCAAATCCATGTTTCTCTTTCTCCCTCTCCCTCTCTAAAATAAATTTAAAAAACAAATTTGAAAGGACAGAAATACATAGGCACACATTCCATTAGCTGTGAGAGCAATATCTTTCATTTTTCTAAAAATATATTTCATTGATTTTTTACAGAGAGGAATAGAGAGTTAGAAACATAGATCAGAGAGAATCACCGCAGCTGTCTCCTGCACAGCCCCTACCGGGGATATGCCCGCAACCAAGGTACATGCCCTTGACCGGGATCGAACCTGGGACCTTCCAGTCCGCAGACCAACGCTCTACCACTGAGCCAAACCAGTTTCGGCAAGCAATATTTTTCATGAAGCTTCTGGAAAACCCTACTATACATACTTGTGATAAGATGAAAGTGAAAAGAACAAACGACAATAGTATTATGAAAATAGTTTTGACCTCATGGACTTCTCAAAGAGTCAGTCCCCAGGTCACACTTTGAGAACTATACTGAAAGTATTAAAGTTCTTGTGTAACTTCTTCCCAGGGCATTACATAGAGTGCTTTTTATTGCTGTGGAAGACAGCAATGCTCAACAAATCAATAATTGTAGCCCTTAGGCTTGGGGCTTGGGGTGGGGGTGGGGGCGTCATTAGGAGCTGCACACCAATGGAACGTGGCCTTGGGCTTGCGGGAGCAGCCGCCCTAAGGTGGGGGTGGAACCAGCGGCAGGCACTCTGAGCAGTAGGGGGTGGGGCTTCTCCCAGGGGGAACGGGAACTGTGCCACAGCCAGGAAAGAAGCTTACAGGGAAGTTAGAGTGTGATGGGAGGACAGGAATAGGCTGGCTGTTCTTAGCAAGCTGGAGGCAAAGGAAATGGAAGACTGGTTTAGGGGCCACCTACTGCTTTCTTCCCTTTTTACCGGAGTCGGAGTCGGAGTCGGAGTCGGGAGCTGGTAGGGGTTGCAGAGTTGGCACTCGGACATCTTGAGACCCTGACATTAGCGAGGGCGTTGTTGTCATGCCTAGGCCTTGTATGCCTTTCTGTGCCTGTCTCTCGATGCTGTATGTTTCTCTCTCTCTCTCTCTCTCTGTGTGTGTGTGTGTGTGTGTGTGTGTGTGTGTGTGTGTGTATGTGTAGTACGCGCGCTTGTTGAGTATCTCTGGGCCTTTTTGTCTCTGTGTGATCCGTCCAGAGGGTGATTTACAGGTGTAACGTGACCCCTAGTGGCCAAACCGGAGAACTGACCCAGATTCCTCCGCGAGAGCCTCTAACTCGGGCCTTCCACCATCTGGCCGGAGGTTAGAGTCCTGGAGCAGGCCCTCACCCCCTGCTGTTCTGAAACAGGCCTGGAGGTTAGCACCTGCTCCTTCTTGCTTCATTCATCTTTAGGGTTCAGGACCCGTGCCCTTCCAACTCTGGGATTAACAAACAGAACCGAACACGATTTTTAAAAACTATTTGATTATTTTTATTTGCGGATACATGAATAAATTCCAAAGTAATTAAAACTAGCATAGCAAGTATCTTCTACATACTATATAATTTCCTTATTTATTTATTATAATTTTTATAATTTATTGTCTGTCTCCTCCCTCTCCCCAGGAAGAATGTAAGCTCCCTGAGGGCAGGAATTTTTGTTTGACGGTTCTCTGATGGAACTTAGAACAAATAAATGTTTGTGGAATGTTGCACAATTGGGTCTTGCTGTGAAGTAGTTTACTATCCAGTTGGAACAAAAGAACAAATCAACTATAATTACCATTTAAAACAGAAGATGCAAGAATGCAGAGTAAGCCCTGGCTGGTGTTGCTCAGTGGCTGAAGTGTTGGCCCACAGTATCAAAGGGCCTCAGGTTCAATTCCGGTTCAAATCAGGGGCACATAATTGGATTCCAGATTCAATTCCCAGCCCTGATTAAGGAAAGTTTTGAAGGCAACCAATCAATGTGATTCTCTCTCTGTTTTTCCTCATCTGCTTCCATTCTCTCTAAGACTCAATGGGGAAAATATCCTCATGTGAGTTTTTGTTTGTTTGTTGTTTTTTTTAAAGGGAGGGGACACAGAGTAAGGTTAGCAGCTCATTTAGTGGGCAATGGGAAGCCCCTGAAGGTTTTGCTAACCTTGACACAGTGTCGGGTAAACCGTAGGAAATCAGGTGGAGAGAGTCTAAGAGAAAGGAAGACTGGTCAGGGAGCTGTTAAAATAGTCCAGAAAAAGCGTGACGGTGGCCTGCGGAGGTGGATGGAAGTAGGCTGTCTCCGGTGTGAAATCTGGTGTTTAAGCTCTGGTGGGCTGTTTCCCCACATTCGGTATACCCCAAGGGTTTCCATCACAAGAATCGATTAAGGAGATGTGGCAGGCAGAGGAGAAATGACCAAAACCTGACGAGTAACAGGCTGGGCAAGTTTAAGAAAACCCATAGCCGTTACCATTTTCACAGGATTCCCCAATTACCGCATGGACTGCATGATGGAGACAAGATGTGAGGAATCCAGAGTCCATGTCCTGGAGTTGCCTCAGTTGAAGTTTAGGGAAATCCAAAGGAGGAAACCTAAACGGAGGGAGGAGAGCTTTAACAAGTTTTTAGCATGCTCTCTGAATGCCTGGATCTCAATTTAGTGCTTAAAATGCATTATCTAACTTATTACAACAACTCACTGAGTTAGGGATGATGATTACCCCATTTTACAGATGAAGCACCCTGGGGAAGGTAAGGTCTTAAGGTCACACAACCAGGAAGTGGCCAACATCCTAGTGTATCTCCCCTTCCTGGCACACCCCATCTCATCCCCGCCTTTGTGGCATCCACCCTTCCCTACTTTCCTTTCTTCCCTTTTCTTCCGCGTGAAGTCACCTCTCCTTCACCTCTCTTGACTGAATTCTCACCTTGGACCTACTGTACCATCTCAGCCTCCTTTCTTAGTGCTTCCTTCCTCCTGGCTCTAACCCACTGAGCCTCCGGCACACCTGAGCCTTCCCTCTGCTCTGGCCTCCACACACACACACACACACACACACACACACACACACATACACACACACCCATGCAGAACACAGTGTGGCCGGGCATGCTCAAGCAGGATGGCTCAGCCGTGGTCCCTTCCCCCTGTGAGGATGTGCCCAACATCTCCAAGGCAGTGTTCTTGCTGATCTACGAACTAAAGGAAAGACTCCTCCTCTGGGATCTCCACAAAGTCTGTCTCCAAAGGATGGTCCCGCTGCATGGCGAGGTTCGTTAGGGGAGTAGTGATCATTGGTCTGGAAATGAAAAATTCAGGAGAACCCGGGGGAGAATTAAGGGAACCCAAAAGGGCCCTGATCCATCTCGAGGGCCATCCTCAGGGGTTGCTACGTGGGGTCCTGTGCAAGAAAGGAGGAGGTGAGGTAAGCTCACACCAGGCCTTCCTTCTCCGTTCTCTCAGGAGACCCTGGGGACAAGCGGCTGGTAACTCTGAGAGCTGTCCTTCACAGGGGAGCAAGATCTCACCAAGCACTGAGGTTCCTCACAGGGGTCTTGGAGGATCCCACAGGTTCTCTGAACTTGGCAATCAGAAAAACGTAGGTACTCATTCAGCTCTGACGCTTCTTGGCAACGTGACCTTAGCAATGACTTAGCCTCTGAACCTCTGTGTTCTCCTCTGAGAAATGGGGATCGGCATACCTCCCTCCCTGGGGTGCTGTGAGGGTCAAGGAGCTCTTCTTTGAAAGGCACCTGAGAGGCACCCCAAAGGGGAGCGCTTTCCCACAAGAATACGCCTTGGGGAGAGTGTGTTGGCGATGCCCACAGGGAGGGTTTCTGGAGGACAGGGAGGGCCCCAGGTGAATCCTCACCCAGGCGGGGCTCTGCCAGCAGTGCGAACAGGGCCAGGCGGGTGCGTTTCCATGGTGCGAGGTCAAGTGCACAGTTGTTTTTTGGGGGAGTGGGGGGAGCCGTGCCTGGCTGGGTGCCCTGGACTTCATGCACCTCCAGCCAGAGGCGTGGGAGGCAGTACCTGAATGAGAGAAGCACGGGGCATGGGATGAAGAACCAGGCGAAGGAGAAAGGGCGAGGAGCCTGGAGGGGAAGTCAGGGCCCGGGCAGGCCCAGGGTGGGGCCGGGAGAGGGGCCCAGGGCAGGAGGGCGGGCGGGAGCCCGGGAGGCTGGGCGCCCGCGAGGGCGGAGGGGGCAGGGCGGGCGGGAGGAGGCTGGCGGCGCTGACACAGCCTCGATGTGCGGATCGGGCTGGGGTTTGGCCCACAGGTCAGGCGTCTGGCAGTATTATGGGATGGCGCGGCCTTAGGAGACAGCGGAGTATTATGGGCTGGAGCAGCCTTAGGAGACCGGGGAGTATTATGGGCTGGTGAGGCCCGGCTCCAACTGGAGGCGGGAGGAAGGGGTGCGGGGCGGGAAGGGGGGGGGCGGTGGTGGAAGGGAATATTATGGGCTGGAGGCCTCCTGCGACCAGAGGCAAGAGTATTATGGGCTGGCAAGGCCTTCGGTGGCC